GTATCCTAGGTAAGGGGTATGCGTCGGGTACTGATCGGGCGTTGAGTTGCCGATAATCCACGCATAGACGCCACTTACCACAATCGGCGCGCTGTGTGGGCTGTGAGACGGCTCGATGCATCCCTTCGATAGCAGCTCATCGATTTCATTCTTGATAACCGCTTGTATCGCTGGATTTCGTGGGAAATATCGCTGCTTATCGTGATTTTTTGCTCCGCCACTGTCGTCACTCCACTCATGGTTCCAAATTTTTGAAGCTCCTCTGCTAAGAAGTCGCGTATGCGGGCCGCTTCGTTACTCTCGTTGATGGTCGATCTAGGCTCGACTCTATTAATCCTCCTGCACTTTAGTTTACGTCTTTTGTTGCACTTCGTTCTACCAAATTTTTGTAGTCGGCTATTTGGTGTAGTTGGCGTTGCGTTGCCTACCTTTTCTGGTGGCATGGTGTAGGAGGCCGCTGAATGCTGAGCATCTGGCGTTGTCAGCACTACCTGATGACCTCCGCAGGATATCTTAGCTTCCATGCTCCCTAGTGTATCTAACCCGAGTATGACGTCATCAACCGCACCGGGCATAACATGTAACACTCCTTGGAGCGATGACTGTCCGAGTTGGATGTTGGTGACGGCTTCCGCCGGTTCTCCGCCAAGCTTGATTAAGGCGTACAACCGGCCGCGCCTTTCCCCTGGCGGAACCCTCGGCCGTTTCCCTGTCGTTGGCCGCAACATTCTTTGGTTAGCACACCCGCTCGACCAAACTCCCAGCAAAATATCTTTCTGGGATTACGGCACCTCCTAGCGTAGTGTCCTTCCTGGCCACATCTCCTGCATGTGTTTCCAGGCATAAAGGTTTGGTTCGTGGATGGTTGTTGGTGATGCGCGTTTACCGTTGTATCGTGTTGAGAAACCGTATGACGCTGTTGTGAACGTGCTGATGCGGACTGGACGGGTGGATGGTCTGGCCGTGATGTACTTCTTACCTCGTGGTCACCTATGATGTGTCTCGTCATCTCGCGGCGTGCCGTCTCTACAGTTCTCCGATGTCCTTCATGAATGCCCTCGTACTCTTCTGCCAGCGTGATAAGTTCGGCTAGGGTCAATCTTGACGCCGAATGTATAATCAGATAATCGGTGTGGCTATTTCGGAAGATCCTTTCCAATCGCTGCTCCTGATTATATCCAGCGTGTCTCATTAGGTTCTGCATAGCGAGGACGTAGTCTTTGTACTTTTCCCGCGCGTGTTGTCTTCGTTGCCGTATGTCATCTTCGAGGCGTTCGAAGTAACGTGCTGGTAAGAAGAATCGTAAAAAATCCCTTTTGAAGGTACTCCAACTCCTCCAATGTTCGTTGTTGTTGCGATACCATTGGAGAGCGATACCGCACAGTAACTCGGGCATGGTTCTTGGAAGAAGGTCTGTGTCTATTACGTATACTTCGGAGAGCTCTTCCAATCGTTCGATGAACGCTAATGGGTCTCTCCCGCCGTCGTACTTTACGGACCACTTCCTCACCTGGTCGATGATAGGTGCGAATGTAAACATCTGGTTCTGTTGCATTGACGTGCCGTTATTCGGCATGCTTATTGGTGCCGGCAGTCGTCGTGATGATTCCGGGAAAATGTCCACGGTTCCTCTGCCTTGATCTGGTGGAAGTGGTGTCTTCTGATCGCCTTCGTCTCGTGAAGCGAAATCATTTCTTTTGTATGCAGCTTCCATTTTTAAAAATTTCTCCTGTATTTCGGAGTCCTCGTGCGCTTTGGCTGCCAGTGCAGTTATCCGCTTCCGAATTTTCCGCGTGGTGCCTATGTGGTCAACGCTCAAATTCTCAGCGAAGGAGATTAGTTGCTCCTTAGATACGTTGTCCAACCACATAAGATCTGTCATTTTCCGTTTTAAATCTTCTCCTGATGTTATACGATTTGCCGGGTCCCTGCTCGGGCGCCAATTGTAACGAAGCTTTTTGCTGCCCCCTGCTTCTTATGGTTTGCTGAGGTATACTCGCCGTGTCCAGGGTTCGTTACAATAAATTTGTAAACTGTGGGGCTCTTTACAAATCGTACTTTATTTGTCTTCCAATTGCACAATATGTAGATCCACTTTCAATCGCTCAATATTTAGATCGTCGTTGTAGGAGCGTCACCCGATGCTGGCGTTCATTCCACTTTCAATTACACAATCTCTAGATCCACGTTGTAGGAGCGTCACCCGATGCTGGCGTTCATTCCACTTTCAATTACACAATATCTAGATCCG